GTGAGATTGCTAACAGAGCATTTCTGATTGTTAAGTACCTGAACTTTGGTTACATGAAAACCGAGATGGGTTTAAGAGTTTTCAGATTATTCACAGATTAAAATCAAGAGAGAAAAACAGTTCAGGATAAAAGGCTCAAATGATACAAAACTTTTAATTCATCTAATCATTTTGCATAAATGAATCTTCCATGTGTCATTTCAAACCTGGCACACTAACTGACTCTTCTAAATTGTTCTTCAAATGATGTTTACTTGCCAAAACGATTCTCTCAATTACCTAGGGAATTTCAAATACTACTTCATAACTAGCAAACATCCTAATTCAGAATATTCCATTCATCACCCTGAACTACAAATGTCAGCTGTGCATCCAGTTATCCCAGAGGGGCTCTTGCAATGAAGCTGGGCTGTTTACACGAACATGCCTTGGTACAGTCAACTTGCTGCTTCATCAACTGGGGAGACTAAATATTTATCTCTATAAGTACAAGGTGTTTGAGGATATGACAGATGTATGTTGACAGTTCATCATACCAGCAGTCCATGCTGTGTAAACAGGTACTCTTGTCCACACTATCAGAACACTATCTGCTTCATATAGGCACGAGTAATACTACAGTGATGACGTCTGCTCAAGGACTGGCCAATCAACAACAGATTAGCAACTGTATTATAACACACTCAGGATGAAACTGATGTATCAAGTGACTTGGATCTCAATTAAGAATGTAAGGAAAATAAACCGTCTCATAAAGTACACTTGTCATTTATACCCTGTCTACCTCCAATGACCTTGATATAAATATAAATCTATACCCAGCAACCTGAGCCATTAATCCAAAGCCAAAGTCTAGTAAAATGTGTTTCGGTCTAGTAAACTCCGCTAACAACAGTCTTGATACTAAGACTTACACCTCCTGCAAGGTCTCCCAAGGATATGTTGGGTAGTGAAGATTTGTAGCCCAGTCTGTATCGAGGAGTCCTCACTGGCTGTGCTGTGTACTACAAATGTTCCCTATGCTTCAGGATCCGTCAATACAGAGTCAATAAATAAACACAATCTTGTGAACCTGACTTTTCCGCAAACAAGAACTCTTTCTTGTAAGTAAAACAGTTCCACAAAATCCTTCTGTTCTTCTAACACAGACACTTTGGATCACCCGTAAAACAGTCAAACCTCCATGGTCAGTCGTGTTGAATTGTCCTTGGCACTTTGGAGTACCACCTCTAACAGTGTCCACTACTGTCTGGACGATCTCCTCTGACACAACCTTATACCATACCCTCCTCACATCCTCCATGAGACATATTTTCATACAATGTTTCATAAGAATGTCCCAATCTCATATAGCTGTGACAAAACTTTAAGCAGGTCTTCCTGGTAAAATATCCTTCTAAAATAGTCAATTCACCCTCCACTATTCCATAATGTCTTCACTAACAGCTCCACCTAAACATCCAACCGTCTGACTCGACTGACTCCATGTCATACTCTGATGTTGGAGTCATTTCCCAAAGTCTTTATACAACACACAGAGTTCATCTCCCTTTCAAGGTTAATTGAACACATGAACCAGCCAGAAAATTGACCACATTTTTTACAAGTCAGTGAGAAATAATTTAATTACTGAACAAGTCATGCCCTTGCTAAACTAACATTAATTACCTCCCCTTTAGGCTCTCTCCCATCATATTCCCTTTCTCAGACTAGTTCCATGCAGCTTTCTCCACACAAAAAATTGATAATATGCAAAAGCTCATTTTCTGACAAGTTTGAGATTCCAGCCTAAACCATAAGGTCATTATGATTGCAGATGTGCAACCATTAAAATATCATATTACAAATTGCCACCTTTTTTTGTTCTCTGATCATATTTATGACATTGATTCATTAGAAAGGAAATACTCAGCTTACACAATTTGCAACATGATATTAAATTCGACAGATTTTTTTCATTGTCAGACTTCAAAGAAATGTAAAACAAAAAGAATTTTAATGCTGGGAAATAGCACAATCCAAGAAAGCATCAGATTAGTTTAGGTTTTCCAAGAGTTAAATTTTGACAACAAATGTTATTTGAAATTCCTATTAATTTTTACATTCCTAAACCAATACAAGCATAATGGCTTTATGTTATAATGCTTGCTCACACTGAAATACATATATTTTTCAAAGAACATTTGTACAAAACATACAAATACAGTTATTAAGATACATGTCCCTATCTCTCTTAACTGTGGACGATTTAATCACCAACTTACATACACAATGCCAAATTCCCAAATGTAGCATATGTTAGATTGATGTTCAACTAGCCTTGATCACTTGATTGTCTGGTCCAGACTTGAATATTTACATTTCCATATAAGCTTAGTTGCTGAGTGATGTTGTTGGACAAATTGCTAAATGCCAACATAAAACCAATCTCAGTAAATCTATAATTCATCTGAATTTGGAATTACACTTTCTTAGTAAAGTACAAAAGTACTATACTAAGAAAGTGCAATCCCAAACATAACATGTTACATGTGTAGCGGCCATAAAATATCCGAGTCCCGTGCTGGGATTCGAACCTCAGACCTTCTGATTAGAAGTCGGACGCCTTGTCCACATGACCAAAGAGGTTAACCCCGTCAGCAAGCTGACAAGGTAAGGATGTCATCTGTGGGATGACTCTATGCCCTGCTACACATGCTACAAGTACCTCAACCTGGACACAAACAGAACACAACTCTGATGTCTGTACATAAAAAAAAAACAAATCATATTACAAATTTGTCATCAGTCTTCAGCAAAGAATCAAATGCTTATGTTTCCAGCCTCAAATAACATCCAAAGGTCTATTCAATCTATTCCGATACTGTTATCAACTCTTGGATGAAAATGTCATAACACGAAAGGTCAAATGTAAGAAATATCACAAGCATTTTATGACAGAGACTTTGAACATTAAGATTTGCTGAAGTGTCTTTTTACAATGTATCTACAGAATTCTCACAACACTGTTCAGACAGACCATCAGCTGTCATAATCGACCATCTGTCACACACTACACTTCTCCCACTTAACTTAATTCATCAAGCGAAAGATTTGTTCATAATAAACACCATTCCTGGCAATACTTAAAAGACTTTCTCATTTCTATCTGAAGAAAGTTTGAATCATTAGGTGTCATAATTTTGCTGCACACCATCTGTGAGTAGTTACATTTTCTGATGTTTGGCTGAGGGAAATGCCGCCTCACTCTTGGAGGTTATTCCCCAGCTCTCCATCTTTATTACCCATGCTCTTCTAAGCATGGAGAATGTCCTGCTTCAGTAAACATAGGCACGTGCTCCCAACCATGTTACAGGCACGTGCTTGCTCTCTGTACTACAAGGAATTAGTCCCTACATTTCTACTATATGATCAGTTACAGTTCAAGGCTTAAATGCTGTAGATCTTCCAATATTGCAGCTTTCCCCTTAAGTCCTGGGATTATATACCAATTAGTGTATAACACATGTATTACATCAGTGTGCAGGAGGGGATGTATGACTGATACCAGGCACCGACTCAAATGTCAGTTCCAACACACCAAAATAGTTGCTATTTGTATAAGTTGGAGAGTTATTGAATTGTAGAATATCTTTTCGCAAAAAATACTTTCCTGTACGGAAAGCAAAATTGCCCTCTGTGGTATTGCTTCTTTAATTAATCTTTTGGATATTGATAAAATAAAATTGACCACTAGATCTAGTACCCTGTAAATATATATTTTCATGGTGAAGCTTAAATTAAACATTCATCAGTAGAAGTTAACTCATTTAATCTTTCATAATGTAATCAAACATCATGTTATCTGATGTAAGATGTGTTACAAAATGTACCACATATCTCTTTGTCCATTAAATAATGCAATACAAGTAGATTGGTTTGATGAATTTCTTGATATATCTTTGTATTGCTATTGTCATTAGAAATGACTTGAGTTTTGTCTGTGACAGATTAACCATTCCTTTTAGAAAGTAGCAGGACATTAGATTTAAAAACATGATAATTTGAAAATAGGTGTTTGGCTGTCAATCTCTACAAAACAGTGATTAGAATGCCAAAAGTCAAATCCGTTGAATTTGCATAACCATATGAATCTGAACGTATGATGCTTAATCCCTAAATACATGGGACATGATCTTTTCCTCATATAATACCCTGGCTCAGTGCCAGAAAGACAGTGCCAGATTAAACCATAACCAGTCTGTGAAAGATTATGGCATTATGTCACCTGGAATCCACACAGCCACAGTTGTATTTACCCTGGTGTGATAGCAGCATAATCACCATAACCTGGAGTGAGTGAGTGAGGGGCTGAGTGAGGGGCTGAGTGAGGGGCTGAGCAGTGAGTGAGTGAGTGAGTGAGGGGGAGGGGGGGAGGGAGTGTAGGTATGAGTTTGAGTTCAGCACCCCTTTAACCCCTGAAAGAAAAGAGTATTTCAGTTACATCACATATGTTGGATGTTGACAGAAAGCTGTTGTTGATGCAGGTTTTGATATCCCTTACTAACACTGACCAAGAAGAACATATGTGTTGCTTTTCAGCACCAGCAACGCCATCTGGACCAGATGAGAGAGAGAGAGAGAGACAGAGAGAGACAGAGAGAGAGAGAGAGAGAGAGAGAGAGAGAGAGAGAGAGAGAGACACACAGACACACAGAGAGAGACACAGAGAGAGAGAGAGACACACACAGAGAGAGAGACACACACAGAGAGACAGAGAGAGAGACACACAGAGACAGAGAAAGAGAGAGAGAGAAAGAGACACACAGACACACAGAGAGAGACACACACAGAGAGAGACACACAGAGAGAGACACACACAGAGACACACAGAGACAGAGAGAGAGAGAAAGAGACACACAGAGAGAGACAGAGAGAGAGAGAGAGAGACAGAGAGAGACAGACAAAGAGTGAGAGGGAAAAACAATATACCAGCAATATACAGTATAAAGAAAACTTACCCCATCGATCCTTCGGACGCACTCTCCGAGAATCATCACGACTAAGTCCGAGCCCATTTTGTTAAGATCCACAAGTTCGCAACATACAATGTTTCTATGTCTCTGTAGTATTCCTGAAGTTTATGTGAATGACACACACACCATGTTCCATGGTTTCCCGATCTAGACCTCACTGAATAATACCTCACTGTCATATAAACCACCGATTTCAAATGTTAAAGCTCACTTCCCAGGATGCAATGCTGCTGATCTGTCGTTCTGTCAGCAAAGTAAGTTTTTCTAAATTGACCTTTATTCTGTGAAGGTCAATTACAAGTGTGTGCATGCATCCAGTCTGACAGTCCAGCGATTATATCACTTCCCTGTGGTATAATCAGCTCTCACATCAATAGAGTCGGATGTTCATAAGTCACTATTTAAAATCCTTTCAAACAGGATGCAGGACAATAAGACAACACTGCTGACCACCGCGAGCACTGTGGTTTCCAGTTCGATTCAAGGCAGACCTGGCATCAATCTGTAGATGTTGTATGAATGGTCAATAGGCTACAAGAGGAAAACCCAGGAAGACATCACAGTGGCTGTTTGGAAACTAGAGCCATTCCACTATGTAACACTGCAATAGAATGCCACTAGAAGGGTCACGAGACTTAATCATACTGCCTCTAAACGCATCACTATGCTACAAACTGATGAGACAACCGAGACATCGATCACTTCAATAACTTCCATTAGTATGAAAAATAAACCTTTCAAGCAAATTCCACCTTTAGACCCTGTCAGTAGAGGAACTACATTAATACGAACAACAGACAGATGAACATTTCATAAAGGGTCGTTGTGTCCATCGCGATGGAAGGAGGAACAGTTTTACAGGCATATATGTGGAGATTCAAACCCAGGAATCTAGTCAAGACAGGTGAACACACTGTCCACAGTACTAGTCATCACCTTTTACAAACATAAAAATGAAAATAATACCAATGAGGACAAAACACAAGTCCCTGAGCTGTTATCACTATGCTCCCTCCTGTTTTCCATCAGTTTCTCAGGTGTTTGATCCCATGACACAGGCTTTAAAATACTGATCCAGTTGAAGATACAAATAGACAAAATAATAACCACTATATATATATATACAAATATACAATCCATGAATGCTACACCACTGTTCACAGGCTATCAAATCCAGAGTTGCCAGTTCACAATGTCCAATGTTGTTGATGTCATCCATGAAACCTTTAAAACAAAACCAACACTGGTGTGACAGCATTAAGAAGCAGCTGTAAACCCATGGAATAACGCCTATACAATATCTTCATATCAACATGATTCACAGAACATCTTTAAAGATCAATCAAAAGTCCCCACTTTTCAAATCCTCCCTTGAATAAATACAGTCAGTAAACATTCATTCCAAGGAACTCGATAAGAATTGTCCACATTACAGAAGGAAGAATTATACCAAATACCTTTGACCTACTGACTAAACTCTGCACCTGCATGAAAACGTATTGAGATATATTCAGATACCTTCATGAAGACACCTTCACAACTCACATCCCTCCCTGCCTCCATCTCAGATCATTCATCCACAGAAACTCGGACACAAATGGCCACCATTCCACTGCACTGATTTCCTCAAACACAAGAGGTGTCCGTCTAGAATGATTCATCCTCACAAATCTGAGAAGTCATCAAACCACAGCAATTTGTTGCATAATACAAAAACTATCAGAAATGCATGTCATAAATTTCTTCATAAATCTCTCTTTCTACAACCAAATGATCCAATAGAAATAATTTTTGTTTAAAAATCATCAGCATAATGTTTTTTCCACACACAAATTTCCTTATTCCGATGGAGTTGACTCTTGTAAACGCTTCTAAAACCTGACTTTCAGCAAAGTAATTTACACAGCACTGCTAGTCTTGGTTAATGCACAACCAGGGCCAAGGCTAATTACTCAACTGCCCCAAATGAGCACACTGAAAATTTCTGCATACAATCTTCATTCTTGACATGAACACACAAGTATTTTTCAATGATTGTTTGACGCCCATTCCTGTTGCGTCAACTCTGACACGAGAGTTTACGAGGACCTGTGATAATGCCCCCACTTTGTGCCAGGACACATGTTCTTGTAGCGTCTCCAACAAACCTCACACGTTCCGACTGCTGGACAGGTGTGATACTATATCCCTCATCAACATGGAGATTTGTCGTAGCAAAACTCCGCAAACAACACCCAGCAGTAGTTCTCCCTCTACATGATGAATATATCACAGTCATAACACAACATCCCACCCTTCGATATCACTGTTATCATCATCCTCACTTCAGAAACAGTTCACCTTTCTATCACTACAATAATAACAGACCAATAAACAACCTGATGAGAAATAAAAATGAAGCAAATATAAAAAAAAAATTAAAACCTTCACAAACTGTTATCTTGTTACTATGACACCTCAAGATGACATTAAATGAATGGAAGAGTTGACCTTCACACTGACACCACATACAACAGATGCAGGTAACGGGTAGCAACAGTCATGTGACATATACCTGTCCTCACATCCCTTGTGGCTGACATCTGAGTTGCAACTGCCTTCGCACCCCAGGAAATCATATCTTCCACCGACACCCAAACATTACCAGTAAGGGAAGGTTCCGGAAGGAAACCAGCACCACAAACAATCTGAGTTCTGACTTATCTACATGTTCTGTAGCAACACAACACAAGGAACAGACATCTGCCCAGTTGTTCCAGTACATTGAAACTTCCTCATGCTTCTGCCATAACGAAGCTCTACAGGTGCGGATACCTCCTGCAATTACTTGTGGGTGAGTCATTCAAGCTACAAAAACAATCTTGGGGTGATCTGGGCCAGTCAAATTTTATACTCACAAACAGTTAAGAACCACCCTGATCTTTCATATTACTTTAGACCCATGAAGGTCCGGGTAGAATGAACCTTCAGTAACCCATGCTTGTCGTAAGAGGTGACTAACAGGATCAGGTGGTCAGGCTCGCTGACTTGGTTGACACATGTCATCGGTTCCCAATTGTGTAGATCGATGCTCATGCTGTTGATCACTGGATTGTCTGGTCCAGACTCGATTAGTTACAGACCGCCGCCATATAGCTGGAATATTGCTGAGTGTGGCATAAAACTAAACTCACTCCTATTACTTTAGTTCATCTGTGTAATTAAGATTCTGTGTATCTATAACCTAAAGACAGGTACAACAACCATGACAGTAGTGAATGGTGCCTACTGGTTAAGATGAACAACCACAACTGTAAGAGAATACATGAGATGGGGCTGTAAAGTGCTGAGCCTAACTACATACAAGTGAGTGAGTTTAGTTTTACGCCGCACTCAGCAACATTCCAGCTATATGGCGGCGGTCTGTAAATAATCGAGTCTGGATCAGACAATCCAGTGATCAACAGCATGAGCATCAATCTGTGCAATTGGGAACCGATGACATGTGTCAACCAAGTCAGTGAGCCTAACCACCCAATCCCGTTAGTCGCCTCTTATGACAAGCATGGGTTGCCTAACTACGAAGAATGGGGCAGTAGAGTAGCCTTGTAGTTAAAGCCTTCACTAGTCATGCCAAAGACCAGGGTTTGATTCCCTACATGGGTACAGTGCGTGAAACCCATTTCTGGTGTCCCTCGACGTGATATTGCTGGAGTATTGCTAAAAGCGGCCTACAGCTATACTCACTCACTCATTCACTCGAGTGCAACCCATGATGACAGGCCAAGGATTGCGTGGGGGCAAATCTGAGATTCAAACCAACGGTCAGGGCAAAGGGAAACAAATCTGATAAGCCTTCAAATACAATACAGCAACTTACTCCAGTAACGTACAGATCTATTCATCCAGTCAGCTACAGATGCGTGTAGTCGATAAGGACCAGTAGCAGTTTTGAGAAGTGGCAACTTAAACGATGTACCCACAATCATGATTGTCTCAAGAAAAGGAGATGCTAACCCCATGTATCAACACACATCAAAGCAGATTCTAACACTTGCCATTCACACTGACAACAAGTAGACACCGTTCTGTCTGTATCTGCTGCAACACTTGAAAATCACTATTTGATCAACATACTCCAGCCATAAACAAAACAATCACAGAACATTAATGCCTGTCTTCAACAAGAAGCTTGGAGTGTTAAGTCTAAAGCCAGACAGTCAACAATAACCACAGACACTGTAATATACTACCCAGCCACACTGATCAACGTTGACAAGCATCTATACTAACCAAACATGAACGTTGACAAAGATCTGTACTTCACATAAACCTTGAACTATACAAACTAACATGACAAATCATCAGTGGAAACGACCACAGTTCTGCAAGTGTATCCTCAGAAATTAAATTATGTCATCTACAAATCACTGAATCTAATAGATGGCATGACAAGTTTCTACTTTCCAATAGCATAACAAGGAGTCATATAGTGCATGTAACCAGGGGCGGTGGGGTAGCCTAATGGTTAAAGCGTTGGCTCGTCACGCCGAAGACCCGGGTTCGAATCCCCACATGGGCACAATGTGTGAAGCCCATTTCTGATGTCCCCCGCCGTGATGTTGCTGGAATATTGCTGAAAGCGGCGTAAAACCAAACTCAGTCAGTCAGAAAGGAGTGATATGACCATGTATCTAACCTCAGACCACATCCACAGCCACAGACGTATATAACACTTCAGAGAATCATCTCCAGATGCCCCCCATCTTCACCGATGACCATAGGGATAAACTGAAGCATTACCTTCAGCAAATGAGCAATCACAAAACTGTTAATCCATGAACATATCCATCCATCTCCAGCTGTGATCCCCTTGTTCGAGTCTCAGTCATGTAACGTTTACCTAAAACTCATTACTAGGTTGTTATGAGACACCTGTGACGGCAAGCACCTGTTGTCAGTAAGTCCTGGAGAAGTGCCACTTGATATGTGATAAAACAACACCGAGTGTCCCTGATACCCACCATACTGACACTGAGACACTGACGACTTTCTGACATTTACTGTCATGACATTTAAGTCACGATTTACAGCGGGATCAAAATAAAACCATTTAAACCTACATTCAACCTTTAGATCTGGTTATATTCCTTAGTTCTGTAAAGTCATTCCATTTATGTTCATTAACAAAACTGATGTATTTAAAGTTCCTGATGTGAAGCGGGTTCTCAGTAACAGCCTACGCTGTTGAAACTCTAACCATACTGCTTTCTACAGGGGTGGAAATAACCCATTGCCCAACGCCCGAGTCAAGTGTTTTTTCCAGTCGGGCAAGCAAATTTGTATATCACGCTGTACCAATGTCCAGTTGACTTTCCAATGTTAATTATGTTGTTTATTTAAACAATCAACAAGAAAATCGACCGGTATAGAGGAAAAATTATCAGGGCAAGTGATTTTACATGTGCCACTGTACCGGTCACTAGCAATTTTAAAGTTATTTCAACCCCTGTTCTAAAGCATGATACTTTGTAAAGTTTTCAAAACAAAAATTGAATCTCGAAAAGAAAAATATTTCATTGATTTGACAAGTTGAGGCTAAAAGGTACAAAATAATACTGATTAAACACTATCTGAAATCGCTTGCTTCACTTGACAATATCACGTTTGTTACTTCTATCACAAAACACACACCAAAAGGTCCACAAGTTCAAAAACTTATTTCACTTTGTGTAACAAGTTTAGTCAATTAATAACTTGACAGACAGCTATTCCGAGCAAGATTCACAATTCAAAGCCATTCCTCCCATGTTTACTCACAACATTGAATTCCAAGAAACAATCTAGGCAAAGATCAATGATCTGGCGCCAACGAGATGTACAGATAGTTGAAACATTGACACTCTTCACACTTTCATTT